TCTGCGAATAGTCAAGAAAGGGTTTCACATATCTTTCTTTAAGAGAGGCACTCAATTGGTACTCCACCATATTTTATGCTCAATATTAATTACAGTTGTAATATAGAGTGAGACATAAGAGAAAGAGAATAGAGATTGAAAATATCCACTTGAGGCCCGTTCTCTAAAAAGGAAGCAGACATAGGATTAGCATCCTTGCCGTAGATTAGGTATACGGGTTGATATCCCATTTGATGCTATCTCTTTTTATTTAAAATGTCTATATGTCTTTCTTATTAAAAACAAATGTATAGGTCTTGAAGCTAGAATCAAGGGTAATTGACTTTATCTATTTTTGTAGTAGTATTTGGTCAATGTAAAGTGTAACAGGGGATTGAACCCCTAGAACTATTCTTTTCTTTGTAATATGAAAAAACAAACTTGTGTTTCTATTATATGGAATGTATGGGTGAATTTGGCCCCGAGTGTGATGTTCTGTGGTAAAGAAATTAATTGGAGTATGTGCTTATTTTAATTATTTCTTAAAACATCCTCACCGCTTTTATGACATTCACATTTTGAAGCATCCAATAAAATAGTAAGAGTAGGAGATGTGAGAGTTAAGATATTAAATGGAATGACATGCACAACCCAAGTGTCTGACATGTTGTAGGTCTCAAAAGGAGTCTCTTATCCTTAAAAAAAATTTATGAGTAAGGTTTCAAGTTTAGAGGTGGAAATAGATGCCTGAAAATTTCAAAGGGAGCACTTGTGTTTGCAAAAGAAAGTTAAAACCGGCAATTTGTACAGACTTGTTGGAGGAAATAGTTTTGGGAGAGGCTGATATTATAGAGGTGGATTCCATCATGACACAACATGTGCGAGTTTGGGTCCATAAACAATGTGGACTCAATGTATTTCTTGATAAAAACCTCATCCCTCGTTTAAAATCTTTTAATTTAGATTTTTGTGAGTCTTTCTTATTTGGAAAGTAGAATAATTTGCACTTTGATTTATCTATCACTAAAAGTTAGAATTTTATGGATCTGATTCATTTGACATAAAGGAATCACCCATTGTTTCTATGGCAGGTGTTGCATGTTTTGGTACTTTTATTTATGATTTTTCAATAAAAACATGTGGGTTTATATTGTTGAACTTTAAAGGAGAGTAGATGAACCTTCCAAAAATCCCAAGTATTGAAAAGAACATCATTGGACTGTAAATCGCAGAGTGCTAAGGCTTTTTCAGAGCACTTGATAATACTTTTAGTTCTCTGTAATCTCTCAATGGCTATGAAACCCTAATTAGAAGAGGGATGGGAGGAGACCGTTCTCTAACATTCGGCTTTTCTTCTTGAAATCTCTGAGAAGCAGCCCTTAATACTTAGGAGATGGGGAATTATCTACTATTCATTGAAAAATGATTTTCTCTTTCTAAAAAATATTTTAAAGATAAATAATAATTAATATATAGTATTTTAATGAAAAATATTAATTAGATTAAAAAAGAAATATGTAGCACATATGAGGCACCATGGCCACCCACATGTACCAACATCTCCCACTTAGCCAAGAGGGTCGAATACATTGAAATATCATAAAGTATGTATCACTTAGTAGGTTTAATCTTTATGAGCATATCTTTTCATGAGTCTTTTCACGCTAGTGTGGTCATGCATCTCATGATACAAAAAATCTCCAAAGTCATGTCATGGGTTTTTCACACTATTACGGCTTTTCCTCTCATGATCCAGACATCAAAGAAAAAACATCCCATTTTAGAGTCCTTGACTTAGATGTTCCTAAGTCCGATTAAAGCTACGTGCTTTGAAAATATTTATGCACTTAATCCCTTAATCAAAAGGCACACAATCACATCTGATGGCAAAAAACTCACTGTTATTTCATTCTTTCCAATAATAGCTAAATATAACGATAATCAATTTCAATGTGCTTACACTTGGGACTATAGGCTCTATTTCTAATTGATGAGATGATAACTTGAATATCACAAAAAAATTTAACTGGTTCGTCAGCTATATCTAACTTCAAATCATTTATGCCGCGTTTAATTTAGACGACATAAGTTGTAGCAATGATATAAGCAATATACTCGACTTCCATACTATACCGAGCTACACAACCTTGCTTCTTTCTAGACTAAGAAACACATCCACCTCCAAAGCGGAATACAAGTCTTGATGTTAATTTTCTATCATTTGGGTCTGCTGCAAAGTCTACATTAGAGTACCTAGTGAACTCTAAATTATCAGCTTGGAAGCACAATTTGTAGTTTTTAGTTTTTTGAATATACCTGAGTATCCTTTTTACAACTTACCAATGAGCCATCCCATGATTACTTTGAAATCTACTCATAAGACCATATGCATAATTCAAATCAGGTCTTGTACACAATATGACATAATTTATACATCCTACATCTTGAGCGCAAATAATTCTTTCCATTTCATCTTTGTCACTATGATTTTATGAACACATTTTCTTTGACATTTTCAAGCCTTTACAAACAGGTGTATCTATGAGCTTACAATTTTCCATCTTAAATCTCTTTAAAATACAAATAAAATTCTGAGATAAACATTGGAGTCTTGTACTTCTATCTCTTGTTATCTTAATGCCTAATACATATGAAGCTTCTCCTATATCTTTCATCTCAAAACGAAAACTTAACCATGATTTGATATAGCTAATCATAAAAATGTCATTACCAGTTAGCAAAATATCATCCACATAATGATAAGATAACAAAATTACTCCTACTGTTTTAGACATATGCACAAAGGTCCAATCTATTGGCTGCATAACCAATTTCAATTGGTACATTATGAAAAGTGAAGTACTACTGCCTAGAAAATTGTTTTAGTCCATATAAAGATTTCTTAAGTTTGTATTCTATGTCTTCTTGGCCTTTAATTACATATCCTTCTGGTTGTTTCATGTATATATCTTCTTTTAATTCTCCATTCAAGAAAATTGTTTCAACATCAATTTAAAATAAGTCTAGATCATAATATACAACTAATGTAAGGATGATTTTAATAGATGAAAATTTAGCTACTAGAGAATATGTCACAACAGAACCTATACCCTTCTTTTGGATAATTCCTTTAGTTACTAACCTAGCTTTATATTTATCTATGGAATCATTTGCATTAAACTTCTTTTTTAGGACCCATTTGCAACCAATGGCTTTTCTATCTTTAGGGAGGTCAACCAACTCCCAAACTTATTTCCTTTTAATAGAATCAAGTTCATCATTTATTGCTTGACTCTAGCTTCATTGTAGCTTTGAGGTTCATCTATTGTATCCTCACTCAGTGGTGAATAATTGTCTTCATTCATAAACTCATAAAATTCTTCTAAAGTGGTAGGTGGGGCTCTAGTTCTTTTATAGCCTCACCCAAAAAATTGCAGTTTTGAGAGCCTCACCCCAAAAATTGCAGTATTGAGAGCCTCACCCTAGAAATGAAGTAATAAATCTGAATGGCTCATCATTGACCTAACAATGTCCATTAGACTTCTATTTCTTCTTTCGGTTACACCATTTTGTTGTGGTATATATGACATGGTGGTTTGGTGAATTATACCATGCTACTTACAAATTTAGGTAAATAAGTTGGAGAAATATTTACCTCCCCTATATGTTTTAAGAATTTTAATATGTCTACTTAGTTGGTTTTCTATCTCAGCTTTATACTCTTTAAACATTTCTAATGCATCTGTCTTTCACTAATTAAGTATACATATCCATAACGAGAATAATCATCTATAAATGTTATTAAATATTTCATAGTTCTATGTGTTTTTACATTTAATGGGCCACACATATCAAAGTGAACAATACTAAGTAGCTTATTAGACTTTTTTTTTTTTAAGAAAATGCTTCTTAGTTAATTTACTAGAACGACTCGGTCTCTATGCGACCAAAACTGCATATGTAGAAATGCAGACTTATTATTAAATCTATTTTTGAGATGGATTTTTGGACTTAATTTTTATGGACATGTAATCTCTAACATAAAGATCATGAACATGAAAAAATAAGTAAATTTAAAAACCTAGAATCAATAATTCTAATAAGAAAACATTTAGACCATTAGTTTCCATTGTTTTTAGATGGAACACCTACTTTCATCCATCTTTAAGATGGATGCTTTACACTTTTTGGACCGCCTATGTAGTCATGCGGTCCAGCCCGCATGAAATAATTTTCTTTATTAGAAATACATGGCTCGCGTATTTTAAATACAATTTCTCCTAACTTGGGGAGCAAGCCTCTTTTGACCATACATATGAATCATCCACACATACATAAGCAACAAATGAAGCATCAATATAACCAGAATAAGATGAATTTTCATTAACATTCAATCAGTATAAATTTTCAACTTTAGTATCATACACCAATGCTCGAAAATGTTTACCAATTGTGACTCGACCAGAATTGAATCTTATTTCATAACCCTTGTTGTCTAGCCTAGGAACAAAAATCATCTTGCATATAAAGTATAAGAAAGTAGGATATTCATTCCTTCTAGTACACATAGCTTAAAAGTACCAACACCAAATACAACGCAATAGGTGTCATTCCCCATATAAGGCGTAATTTGCATCAACAGATCCTTGAGTGTGCCTTGAGCCTTTGCTAAATATCATGGCATAATCACTTGTGCCTCTCAGATAACACGTTCCCAATAAGCTTTTCTTGGATTTGCCATAAAGCGACTCAAGATACCAACTGAATATACTATGTCTGGTCTAGTACATACCATGACAAACATTAGGCTTCCCACAATACTTGCATATGACACTTTAGCTATATTTTCCTTTTCATTCACTGTTTTCAGACTTTGCTTAGAAGATAACTTGAAATGAGGAACTAATGGAGTCTCCACCGGCTTTCCCTTGCTCATGCCAAACTTATCAAGCATCTTTTCCACAAAGCAATTTTGTGAAAGTGACAAATTCTCACTCCGTCAATCTCTTTGGATTTCAATTCTAAGTATTTGCTTTGCCGGATCGAGATCCTTTCATTTCAAAACTCTTGCTTAAAGATGCCTTGAGCTCATCAATCCTAGCCTTATCCTTGCATGCTAAAAGCATATCATCAACATACAAAACTAAGATTAAATAAGAACCATCATAAATTTGTTTGATATAAACACAATGATCATAATCACTCCTATAGTATCCAAGACCAACCATGAACATGTCAAAATTCTTGTACCATTGTTTTGATGTTTGTTTGAGTCCATATATGGATTTCTTCAATTTGCACACTAGCTTCTCTTTTCCTTTTTCAAGAAATCCTTCCGGTTGTTGCATATACACCTCCTCTTCAAATTCACCATGTAAAAAAACCATTTTTACATCCATTTGTTCAAGTTCAAAATCATGCAATGCAACAACCCCAAGCACCAACCTTATGGAGTCTAATTTGACATTCGGTGCGAAAATTTCAAGAAAGTCGACACCTTCCTTTTGTGCAAACCCCTTTTACCTTTCGAAAATTCTATCAAACCCTTTCTTGATTTTGAACACCCACTTGTAACAAACCGTTTTTCTACCCTTTGACAATTCTACCAAACCCCAAGTCTTGTTATTTCGAAGAGCCAACATTTCATCTTCCATGGCCTTCTTTCAAGATATGGAATCATCCACTTCCATAGCTTCTTAATAAGTGCTCGGTTCTTCATTCATAACAACCAAAGCATATAGTACTTCGGGATCCACATAGTCCTTAAACCTCTCGGGTGGACAAATTACCCTTGTAGATCTTCTTATCATGGATGGTGCAACTTCTTCATGGGAATCACTTGGTTCACCAACTTCCCTTTCTTCATCAATGGATTTTTCATTGACACTTGTGGGTGCTTCTTCCAGTATATGACCCTCACCAGATGATAGGATATAAGGTTGAAATTCAATTTCTTGTGTGTCCTTATGAGATTCTTCAATTTTTTAATCTCATTTTCTACACCTCTTGTCAATACGGATGACTCGTCAAAATGCACATCTCGACTTGTAATTATCTTTCGGGCACTTGGATCCCATAACCGGTATCCTTTCACCCCTATGCTATACCCAATAAAAATGCATTTATTTAATTTTGGTTCAAGCTTATTTCTCTGATAACTAGGAATTAAAACATAAGCATCACAACAAAAAATCTTTCAATCAAAATAATCACAGGAGTTCCAGACCATACCTCTTGGGGTTTTTTCTCCCCCAAAGTCGTCGAAAGTGATCAACTGATGAGATAACAAGTCATCATCACAGCTTCGACCCATAGCTCTTTCTCCAATCTGGCATGGGTCAACATACTTCTTGCTCACTCCATCAAAGTGCGATTCATCCTTCAACAACACCATTTTGTTGAGGTGTGTAAACCGTAGTGAAATGCCTCTTGATCCCTTGATCTTTATAAAATTTTATAAATTCATCGGAATTATACTCCTTCCCATTGTCCATGCAAAGTGTCTTGATATGGCATCCTATACTCTTCTCAACTTCGGCCTTAAAATGCTTAAAGGCAAAAAATGCATCACTCTTTGATTTAAGAGTGAACACCCATACCTTCTTTGAGAAGCTATCTATAAAATAAATAAAATATAATGCACCACCATATGAAATCACAGGTGAATGCCCGATAAATCTGAGTGAATATAATCAAGTATTCCCTTGCTTGTATGGCTTCTGGCTTTGAAATTTCCATAGACACAATGCTCACAAAATTTGGATTCCCCAGATTTTATGGTGGGAATTAACTTCCTCTTCATCAAAATCTTCATACCCTTTGCACTTAAGTGGCCCAACCTCCTATGCCAGAAGTGTAGTGAAAGATCATTACTTTTCACTATCGAATTTACCGCATCATGAACAATGGAACTTCCCAATAACTTATACAAGTTGCCAACTCTAACACCCTTGATTACAACAAGAGCACCCTTAGATACTTTGATAACTGCCCCTTATCCATTTAATTTATAGCCATGAAAATCCAATAAAGCAAGAGAAATTAAATTTTTCTTCAAGTTCGGCACATGTCTAACATACTTCAATCATGCATCCTTAATTTCACCGTGCCAATCCCAATCATTCTATTACTTGAGTTGTTTCCCATCAACATGGAACCACCATCACATGGTTCATATGAACTAAAACCATGACTTGTGTGGGCACATATGACGTGTAGCACCACTATCTAAAATCCAATTTTGATGGAATTCAAGATTGCTACCCATGGCATAAACCTCTTTTTCAATAAAACCGGATGTAGATTCATCCACTTGATTCACCTCATTTTTTGACTCATTGGTTTCCCTTGCTTTTTCAAAATTTTGCCCTTTCCTTTTTATACAATTTTTCTTCATATGTCCTGCTTCACCACATCCCCAACAAACAAACTTGTTTTTTTGGCCTTTAGACTTAGATCGACCTTTCGAGTTAGATCTTAAAGAATTTCGCGAGGATTACATTTCTTACTTGAATGACCCATTTCAATTCCGGTTCTCTAATAGATTTTTTTTTTGGCGTTCATTGGCGAACAAAGTACTAGTCACTGTACTTAAATCAAGTGAATTTTCTTTAGTGCAGAATGTTGTCACTAAATTTTCATAAGATTTTGGTAAAGTACATAACAACATTACTGCCTTGTCCTTATCTTTCCTTTTTTCACCAACACTATCAAGTTCACAAATAATGTTATTGAAAGTGTTCAAGATCATAAACTTTTGTCCCCTCTTTCATTTTTAAACTAAACTTTAATATAATACGGTTTGTAAGGGATTTGTTTTGATAACCACTTTTCAATTTCTCCCACTAAACCTTATTTGCTAGAACAATCGTATTGTAGCCATAGTCTTAAAGTCCATTTCCTCCCAATCCTCATTAGTCCTAGACTCTGGTTTCTTTTCCTTCTTGAGTAATGTTTTGTATAATCCTTGTTGGACCAAAAGATCATTAACTTGAATTTTTCATAACTCAAAATCATTTTGTCCATCAAATTTCTCCACCTCAAACCGATTACTCGTCATTCTCTCAAATATATTGCACAAAACCTAATGTTTCGATACTACTTGTTAGATATTCGAATACTCAAAACCTCAATTTAACCGATCATCGAGTATCACTCTATGCCGAACACGTAAAATCTATAATCCATTAGTAAGCTCAAAGATCGTATGCAACAATTTAAGAAAATAAATTAGAGATGGAAAACATAATCATGAGAGGAAATTAGAGAGACAAACCACAATACGAATTTAACGTAGTTTACCTCGTAGGGTTATGTCTATAGGCAAGCCAATAAGTATTTCACTATCAAAAGATAAATTTACAAGGGGATACAATGTTACCTCAAGGAGAAAATTGGTGAAAAAACATCATCAAGAATACCTTCTTGTAATCATCTAAAAACCACGATTTACCCCTCTTCACTTCGGATGTTCCAAGAAAATGAGCAATACAAGCTCATACCATTTTTCTCAAAAATAGGACAAGAAAATCTTTCTTCACCTCCTTCCCTTTCTCAACATAACCCAAGGAAGCCCTAGCCCCTTTCTAGAGAGAGAGAAGAGTTGAAACTAAAAAGAATCTTATGTCCAAAAAATACCCTTTTTGGTCTTTATACAAGCCACCTAATTGTAGTGACGAAAAGGACCCTTAACAAAATGGAAAAAGACAAATCTATTTTAGGTGATTTTCTACCACCATTCAACAACAACATTTATGAATATCTACATACAGGCATATTATTCAGGTCGGGTCTAGCTGGGCCAGAACACAAATAGCATTTTGGTCTAGGTTTTGGACCCATACCCAACCTTTTGAGTACAAAATTTAAACTCATACCCAAACCCGAGTTTAGGTCTACCTGTTTAGTCCCAGGTCTAGTCGGGTTCATTGCCACCCCAAGTCCTCACCTAGGTACTATACCCTTCGCACTTCACATTCTCAATTTTTTAAATCCTCACCTTGGGACTCCACACAAATTTATACTTTCCAATACATTCTATAGAAAAATGATGCTCGCCCATAACACCCCTTACATATTTTCCAAGTACCCAAACTCTCCTTGTTCAAAAGCAGGCAAATTTTCATCTCTACTTTAGCCAATAGGGCTAGGCAATGAGTTCCTCTTCATAGGATTGTGAATGATATTTGTTAATCCTCTAGAACACGTATTTTTGCTCCAAGAAACCATTCACTCCACTTCTGGTTTTCTATTATTCTTACCTCAACCATCTCCCATGTGTGTCTCTCTCATCCCCACCCAATGAATCCTCCTCTCCTCTCTCATCGCCATCTATGAAATCCTCCCCTTCATTCTGGATTGGCAATATACTTGTGCTTACCTCTTTATCTTTGGCCTTGCCCCAGAACAAAGAATAGAGCCCACATATCACCATAACGATTCTCACAATACTGCAAAATCAAATACATGCCATCATCATCGTCATCTTCATTATTATTGGTGGTATAAGACCAAGGGCTAGAAATGCAATCTTTTAAAAAATTTGCATTGTATAAAAACTCAAGGGTTTAAATGCATGAATATCTCAATGCAAAACCATAATACATATATTACAGCCTACAAACAAGGTTTATACATATTTGAATAATAAAATTAAACCCTAAT